GTAGATAAACTCACCAGAATAAGGACGTCTGGCTCTCTGCAAGCCAATTCAGCAAATACTACGCGAGCTTTTTGTCCTCCTGGTAATAGGAAAAAAAACCAAAGGAGAGAAAGGAGGAATTAGAAGATTAGCTAAAACATGCTTGCTTCCCCAAAACTGATGGAGACAGCATCTTGCCTTTCGGAATTTGAAAGGACATCTGGAAGGATAAACAGAGCATGGAGATTAGAGCTTCTTAAGAACCCACCAAGTCCCCTTTGAAGGCTATCAGGCCTGCAGCCATCTTTTCTTTTGGATCTTTGGCCTGCCACATTTTCTATTCTTCTACTATGCATTTTCTATTGTGGGAAAATGGGAGGGGGGGGGAATGAAAGGGAGTCATATACTATGCAGCCATAACAAAATTCTTTCTAGGAATCCAAGGTCATCCTTTGTCTTTACACGTCTGCACCTGACCAGAATTGGATGGGTGGAACTGCCAGCATGACAGTAGAAGATTGGACCTTGTGGGTGTTGGGGGAAGATCTTGAACTTTCAACTAGGTGGGGAAAACCGGGAATCTTTCAGATTCAGGTTTTCCCAGTTGTGCCAACATGGCTCTCTTCATCAATTGGAACGTTGAGCAATACATTGCCTTTGATTCTGATTTCCTTTTGGATGCTATTTGGAACCCTGACATCAGCATTGGCCTATCTTTCTACAGCCATACAGTCTTATGTCTTGCTCAAGACACAGATGGACTGTTAAATCACTAAAACTCCAGCACTTAGTGCACCTCCTGGTGTGATTAGCTACAACTTTAATTATCCAATACATTTGGAACATGCCAAGGTGGAGAAAGCTATGCTAGCAGCCCCCGTCCTTCCTTGTGATGCCCTCGGCCCACCATCGACCTTCCCTTCTCCCAAGAAATGTGTCCCATACCAGACAGCTTGCAAATCTGGATGGTGTGGGCATGACTCTCAAGACCAAACCGCCCTAAACATTTACGGGCATCTTGATAAGGCAGGTTGAAATTGCGCTGAAGATATTCAGTGGCTGTTTCCTGCATGTTCAACTGATCGGCATATTGCTGGTTGAAGAAGCCAACTTTCTACCAGGAGAGAGAGAGAGAGAGAGAGAAAAGAAAAGAGAAAACTTGAGTGAAACTTCTCTCAAACGTCCACCGAAGCTTAACTGACACCATCCACACCTGCCACAGCTGGCACTGCAGGGGTGCCTTCTGTGATTCTGCTTCTGAAACCTACTCCATCTCTCTTTCAACCAATTCATTTTGGCCAAGGTTACAGCTGGCGGAAGCCTTCCTAATTTCCTGGACTAAAACTTCCATCAGCCCTTGTCGCTGGCTCATGTTGGCTGGGATGATATGAAATGGAATCTAAACCATCAGGCAGGAAATAACCAGGTCGCCTAGTTCTAGTTTAGCGCATGATGCTGTCCTGAAATCAGTCTCCAAATTGTGTGACGATATTTTACTCTAAGTCTCAACTGCCACGTTGAGCAAATGAAGAAGCAGGTGCATGCAGCCATACCAGCACGTTTTCCCCAAAATAAGACCCTGTCTTATCTTTTTTTGCCACCAAAAACGGCAACAAGTCTTATTTTTGGGAGAAGGGGAAGCATGTTGTCCACACACTGCGCACTTCGACCCTGGCCTCTTTTTCGCTATCAGAGGCCTTCAAGAATTTCTTCGTCTGGCAAGGTCAGCAAGGCTTTCCTAAAGGCCTCCGTAGCTGATAACAGAGCTCCAGATCGATCCAGAGCTCTGTTATCGGCTACAGAGGCCCCCAGGAAAGCCTTGCCAGCTGCAGAAGAAGAATTGGGCCGAGGTGTGAGAGGCCTGGTTGCAACTGCCCGTAGTAGGGCAGCTCCCCCACCAGCTTAATTTTTACCTGTGCACCCTGGAGTGGGTGAGGTCTTAATTAGGGCTTATTTTGGGGATAGAGCTTATATTGGGTGCACGTGTAAAAATCAAGCTACGTGTCAGGCCTGCAATCAGATTGGACCATGTGATGGACTTGTAGGTGTGGGGGCAAGTTCATGAACTTTCAACTGGGTGGAAAACCCAGGAAGCTTTCAGATTCGGGTTTTCCACAGATTGTACCAACATGTCTCTCTTTATTAAATTGGAACTTCGATGAAAGCAATGCCTTGAACTCTGATTTAATTCTGGATGATATTTGGAACGCTGACGCTAGGACTTACTTTCTGAGTCGATCGTATTTTTGGGGAAATATGGTAATACAACGAAAGACCAAAAGGTGTACTGGATATCCTGCAAGCAAACTATCCCCTCTCCAAGCAGAGTACACCAACACAAAGCTACAACTGCCACGTGTGCACCGCTTCCTATGACCAAAGACTTCCTACCCTGACTGCAAGCTCTGCTTTCCACTCCAATACAACCCCTATCCCCTCATTGTACACTGCCTTCCCACCACGTTCCAATTGAGATTTCAGCCATACTTACTAGCCTGTGGTTTTTCCTCATTTCTCCTCTGGTCTGAAAAGATGATAAGGAAAAGAAAACAGGAGGTTAGCATTGCGTTGGTTCTCTTCCCTTGCAGTCCCATCAGATTAAAAGAGAAGTCATTTTTCACGGGCTCTTCCTAAAATCGTCCCCCAATAGTCACTTTCACTCATCCAGGACTCGGTCTAAAGGGGCCCCAAACAGAGAAAAGGAAATTCAGGAGGACAATCCACACCAAGAGAAGCCAAAGTTTGAACAGATAGTACTTACCGCTGTAAGCTTCCCGGTTAACAGCAATAGGAGTGTACTTTTCCCCACCCCATTGGGGCCCACGATACAGACTGAGAGGCAGGAAAAAGGGGAAGAGAAGGGATTGTCATTAGTAACAAGATGGTGCCAGGTAGGCAAAGTTTTTAAGAATCTGACTCCCCCCCCCCCATCTTTCAATACAGGTAGTCCTCAAATGATGATCATTCGTTTAGTGGCCATTTGAAGTTACAGCTGCACTGAAAAAAGTGACTTATGGCCATTTTTCACACTTACAACTGTTGAAGCACCCCCGTGGTCACGTGATCAAATTTCAGATGCTTGACCACTGTCTGATATTTAGAACAGAATAGAATAGAATAGAATAACAGAGTTGGAAGGGACCTTGGAGGTCTTCTAGTCCAACTCCCTGCTTAGGCAGGAAACCCTACACCACTTCAGACAAATGGTTGTCCAGCCTCTTCTTAAAGACTTCCAGTGTTGGAGCATTCACAACTTCTGGAGGCAAGCTGTTCCACTGATTAATTGTTCTAACTGTCAGGAAATTTCTCCTTAGTTCTAAATTGCTTCTCTTCTTGATTAGTTTCCACCCATTGCTTCTTGTCCTACCCTCAGGTGCTTTGGAGAATAGCTTGATTCCCTCTTCTTTGTGACAACCCCTGAGATATTGGGACACTGCTATCATGTCTCCTCTAGGCCTTCTTTTCATCAGACTAGATATACCCAGTTCCTGCAACTGTTCTTCATATGTTTTAGCCTCCAGTCCCCTAGTCATCATGGCATTTACATCGTGGCATATTTATGATGGTTGAAGTGTCCCCAGGTCATCTGATCTCCCTTTGTGACCTTTTGACAAGCAAATTCAAAGGGGAAGCCAGATTCACTTAACAACTGGGTTACTAACTAAACAACTGCACTGATTCACTGTACAATTGTGGGAGGAAAGGTCATAAAATGGGACAAACTTGCTTAGCAACTATCTTGTTCAGCAATGGAAATTTTGGGCTCCCTTGTGGTGGCTAAGTTGAGGACTAAATCAAAAGCAGGAGCTAAAAGTGACTTTTCCCAGCTGCAGCACTTTAAAACATTTTTAAAAGGAGAAACTCCTGGTGAGGAATTTCCTCTCAGAAACCAAGAAACACAAATGATAACCGTGTGCAGAAGTCTGTCAGCACGAAAACTTTACCGTCTCTCCTTCCCCATCACTTACTTCGCGATTCCATGTCAATTCCAAAGTCCAAATTTTTGAAAAGGGGCTTCTGTCCTTCGTAACTGAAGTCCACGGCTAAAAGAGAAGCAAAGAGATAAGGATCAAAAGGGGGAAAAAATGTTTTTTCCCGACAACACAAAAGTAAAGTTTAGATAGAACAACAACCAGGAACAGCCAGTCTAGAAAAAAACAAAAAAACAGTTCTTAGCCCAGCTGGTTAAAATAGCAGAGCTTCGATTGAACAATTTGAATTTGAAATGAGGTTGTTGGAATTTTTTTTTAGCTCACCCTTCCTCGTCCCACTTTTGATCCTGAGTTTTGGACTGAGAATCTCAAAGCAAAGGATTGCGATTTGCTTTGAACCAACCCACAGATTGTATACAAGCTGCCTTGGGAGCCCTATTCTTAGCACAGGGGTCAGCAACCTTAAAACATTCAAAGAGCCACAAAGGTCCTAACTGAAAGCCCACCTTTCAATTCTGGAGTCAACCGGAAGACCGGTTTCCCCCACCATAGTCTCCTCCTAGCAACTGTCATTACTTGCGACAATAATAAGCAGGCTCCATTATGATCGTAAGTCGGGGACTAACTATATGCTCATCTTAGTGACAGAATCCTTGGTACATGCAGACACTCTCGTTATCGCTCCAGTTTTCTACACTGGGGAAGCTAAGAGACAGCATAAATTTCCCCAATTATTTCTCCACCCGTTAGCCATCCATGGGCAAAATCCTATCCTGGCCATCTGGGATCAGCAAAAACTAAGGCAGGAACTTAAATCACATGGCTGCTGGGTATAAGGGCTCAACTTCCTCTCCTGAAGATGCCTCAGTCAGAGCAAAGGACACTGGGAATTGTAGTTTAACAACAGCCAGAAATTAAACTTCCGTCTCTCTCTCCTCAAATGCTTGAAGGAGGAGGAAACAGAGTTCAGAACAACTGATAAGAGATCCCACCCCACCCCACCCCAAGAAAACCACTTCACTCTTCTTCAGGCTCCTAATCTTTCCCCTGCACCCCTTCCTTTACAATTTGCCCTGCAAAAGGAGAAGCCCTACCGTGAAGGCCCAGAATGGGTGGAGCAAGAGGCGGTGGGTTAGGAAAGGTGAATTTCACGGTGTATTCCTTGGGCCGTTTCAGGAGCTCGGGGGCCTCGTTGGATTCCTCATCCGGGTTCTTCTTGCGACATTTCTGCTGCTTCCGCGTCAGGGCCTCCTTGGTCTGCTTTTCCTGGAACAAGCAAGACAGGTTACAAGGGGAACAGGCTGTCCTTTTCTTTTGGGGCACGGAGGGGACAGACGGGCGACAGGAACATGTCTTTCAAAAATTAGAATTTTTTTAAGTGCTGGAAACCGTGGCAGGGATTGACAGCACCAAACGGGCAGGACTCAGACAGATTTCTGACAGAGTGGGAATTAGCTCTTCTCATGGATGATCTCAGATCACTATCCAACAGGCAGAAACCTGGATGGCCTAAAGCAGGGGTGTCAAACTCGATTTTATTGAGGGCCGCATCAGGGTTGTGTTTGATCTCAGGTGGCTGGGGTAGAAGTGGGCATGGCTAGCTTGATGTCACTCATGTTGGGGGCGCCTGTGCTGACCCGAGTGCTCTGCCAGAAAAAACGGGTTCCTGAGCTCCCCTTTCGGCTGCGATGGCCTCCTGCAGAATTGCCAGCAAAAACGGACCTTGTGGAGGGAGGGTCATGTGCGGCCCTCCCGAGCTCTGTTTTTGCTGGCCGAAGCACCGTGGGCTTGTTCTTCACTGTTTCCACACCGGCCACATGGGCCAGATATAAGCATCCTGTGGGCCGGATGAAAAACATAGTCATGGTTTCAGCTAGTGACAGCCCCCCCTCCTTTAATGACAGGGTTGCCAGTCCGAATTGTTGTCACTAAACATGGACTACCTTTGTTATGGTTTTGATGAGGGATGGTATTCACTTACTTTCCCTACTGGTTCGCAAAAGTGAGTGCACATGCATGAACGCTTTGCTTGCATGTGCCCCATCCAGTGGTGGGTTTCAAAAATTGTTCGAAACTACTCTGTAGGTGTGGCTTTTGTGGGAGTGGCTTGCCACCCATGTGACCGGATATGAAGATGCCGACGACACTTGTCAGAACCACCTTAAATTACCTCACACACAGCACTGGCATGCATAAGAATAGGATGTAAACT